CTGGCCTTAATGGTGAAGCTTCCAGACTAAACATACATCATATCCCAGATGAGGTACATAACATTCAGCATATCATTAGAGGAACTGATGAAAACTAATAGTGTAAAAACACCAGGTTTTCCAGTAAAAGAGAAATATTTAAGCAAAAACAAAAGAGCAAATTTGTCTTGTATCTGTTTCCTCTCTAGGCCAAAGTTAGCACATGACATGACACTCTAAACACGACACTTTGTGCAGCCCTGTAGTAGAGAAAATGCAAGAGAGAATAATGCCTGAAATAATAACATATTGGTTCCTTGTCAAATTATGCAACATTTGGTAGAGCATTATGGAAAAAATCGTAAAACTCACTTCCTTCAAGGTTATGGCAAAGTATGCTAGAAGAAATTCTAGAAATGCCTTTATAGCCAATCTCTCGTTAAAAATCACAAAAGCTTTTCTGTCTCATAGAGCATTTAAAAAGCCCTGAAACAATCCATGAAGACACTGTCACAATCCCTGTAGAAGTCCTGTAGATTTGGAATGTTTTGTGTTTTTAACTCAGTGTGTGGGAAGACTCTGTGGATAGGAAAAGGGCAGACTCATTTAAAAGTGATTCAGCAGAAGTTGCCAAACCACTACGGGTGTCTGAAACTGATACCTTGTCTTTGGTGGGGTGTATTGAGGGTCCGCATTCTCTAAGGTTTTGCTTTGAAAGACTGAGAAGGGAGAAGGCTCGCCTCAATGTCTCTGCAGATGAGACACACAAAGACATACGATCCAGAGCAGAGCAGCCAAGATCTTTGGACTTCTAAGCTGTCTGGCTCACCTCAGATAGAAGGGAACAGAAGATTCAGCAAAACAGTGTCTTAGCGAAGGGGATTTTGGAAACGGAAGCGTCCAGTTGAACCACCAACACCAATTTATTCACATAGTAAGCAGGCTAAAGTGAGTTTTAGACTTGTGATTTATTGCATCAGAATGTTCTCCAAAAGGAAAGAAAGACACAAAATGTTAACCTTTAAACTGAAACAAATGGTTCGTATAAACCATGCTTCCAAGTTCTCTGGTTTATAATGAATTACACTTTTTATGTTACTTTGCTTGCCGATTTTTGCCAAATCCCAAAAAATAAATGAATCTTACTTAGAAACAAGGCCTGTGGTTCTGCCATGATTTTTCGACAAGGTACTACATTGTACACTGTACAAGTACCAAGTACCACATCTTTTTGGACATGTCACTATGGCACTCCCATTGATTTTTGCAACATGATATTCTTGGAAGTATTTTGGAGTATCATGGTAATACCATTTCAGATTCATGGCATATCTAAAAAAAACATGGTATATTACCTGATACCATTACTGTAGCAGTGTACTTTTTTGTTAAGGCAATAACTAAACACTTGCCAGATTCTTCAGAAGGTGCCACAACTGATAAACTGCTGAGAATGTGTAAGATGATAGAGACTGTCATAAATTACTGAAGGTTTCGGTGGTAGTAATTTCATCTGGAGATGTATCAAAAACCCCGGGGGAAACTTGTTTAAGCCAACAGTGGAATAAGCCAGCAGTCTGTCATTCTTGTATGGCTATCTTGTGTATACACTTTGGATGATGTCTCCTGAATGTGCATCCATAAACGCCATATGCTAGCATGACTTCCATCTCAACAAATAATCCTATGAGATTACCAACATGACACATGAGGTTAGGTCAGAGGTAGTAAATCTGGCAATAAAGCCCATGCTGCCACTGAGTCATGACTGACAAGCTTCATGGAATGGAAATGGGAGTCCTTGCGTTTCTTGGAAAGCACACATCAAGCCAAGTCAATGCTGAGCGCAATTTATGTGTTTGTGAACATGCACATGTATGCATGTGTGTGTGTTTGTGCTATGGTTAACAAATCACAAATCTTTTATTCACTAAGCAGCTTGTCTTTCCTGACCTTTCATGGCTTTCTCGAAAAGTTGTAGATCTGTATTAGTGATACACGTTTTCTTTACTATATTTTCCAGGGCACACATTTACACAGCTAACTGTCTGTATTTAATACCAATCTCTTTGTTTAATGGTGTTTACAAACCTATGTCCATTGATTAGTGGTTCACTCTAAAGTGCCTCACACAACAATGTGCCCTATTTAGAAGACTTGAGATGCACACATACACAGAAACGTAGAAACTGGCAGTGATCGAGATTATTCTGAGATTCAGCAAAACAGTGTCTTAGCGAAGGGGATTTTGGAAACGGAAGCGTCCAGTTGAACCACCAACACCAATTTATTCACATAGTAAGCAGGCTAAAGTGAGTTTTAGACTTGTGATTTATTGCATCAGAATGTTCTCCAAAAGGAAAGAAAGACACAAAATGTTAACCTTTAAACTGAAACAAATGGTTCGTATAAACCATGCTTCCAAGTTCTCTGGTTTATAATGAATTACACTTTTTATGTTACTTTGCTTGCCGATTTTTGCCAAATCCCAAAAAATAAATGAATCTTACTTAGAAACAAGGCCTGTGGTTCTGCCATGATTTTTCGACAAGGTACTACATTGTACACTGTACAAGTACCAAGTACCACATCTTTTTGGACATGTCACTATGGCACTCCCATTGATTTTTGCAACATGATATTCTTGGAAGTATTTTGGAGTATCATGGTAATACCATTTCAGATTCATGGCATATCTAAAAAAAACATGGTATATTACCTGATACCATTACTGTAGCAGTGTACTTTTTTGTTAAGGCAATAACTAAACACTTGCCAGATTCTTCAGAAGGTGCCACAACTGATAAACTGCTGAGAATGTGTAAGATGATAGAGACTGTCATAAATTACTGAAGGTTTCGGTGGTAGTAATTTCATCTGGAGATGTATCAAAAACCCCGGGGGAAACTTGTTTAAGCCAACAGTGGAATAAGCCAGCAGTCTGTCATTCTTGTATGGCTATCTTGTGTATACACTTTGGATGATGTCTCCTGAATGTGCATCCATAAACGCCATATGCTAGCATGACTTCCATCTCAACAAATAATCCTATGAGATTACCAACATGACACATGAGGTTAGGTCAGAGGTAGTAAATCTGGCAATAAAGCCCATGCTGCCACTGAGTCATGACTGACAAGCTTCATGGAATGGAAATGGGAGTCCTTGCGTTTCTTGGAAAGCACACATCAAGCCAAGTCAATGCTGAGCGCAATTTATGTGTTTGTGAACATGCACATGTATGCATGTGTGTGTGTTTGTGCTATGGTTAACAAATCACAAATCTTTTATTCACTAAGCAGCTTGTCTTTCCTGACCTTTCATGGCTTTCTCGAAAAGTTGTAGATCTGTATTAGTGATACACGTTTTCTTTACTATATTTTCCAGGGCACACATTTACACAGCTAACTGTCTGTATTTAATACCAATCTCTTTGTTTAATGGTGTTTACAAACCTATGTCCATTGATTAGTGGTTCACTCTAAAGTGCCTCACACAACAATGTGCCCTATTTAGAAGACTTGAGATGCACACATACACAGAAACGTAGAAACTGGCAGTGATCGAGATTATTCTGACACTCACAAAGACACTGAAGAATTGTGTGACGTGACCGATTCAGAAGCACAGGATGATAACTGAAAGAACTGGCCGTATCCCAGTTCTGTCGTTACTTACTTACCCGCATGTTGTTCTAAACTGATTTGCTTTTATTTCTACTTAAAATAATTTATTTTACTTCTACTTTAAAGAATGTTTATGTAGCTCTTTAATTTCAATAATGACCACATTTAAAAAAAAAAATAATAATTCCAAGTGTGTTTCACTGACATAACTAACAACCAAACAGGTTTGGAATGACGGAGGAGTAAAACTAAGTATTACTAATTTTTGGATGAACTGCTCCTTAAATCAAAATAATTGATCATATTATATACAGTATATACAGTGTGTGTGTGTGTGTGTACATAATAAAAATAAATAAGTAAATAAATAAATTAAATAAGTGCACTACTGTTCAAAAGTTTGGAGTCAGTAAGTCGCTTAGCTCACCATGCTACATTAATTTGATCAAAAATACCCTAATAAAAAAGGTGTGAATTATTACAGTATTACAATTTAAAATACTCCAGTGTCCAATATCACATGATTCTTCCCAAATCATTCTAAAATGCTTTCTATATATACGTGTGTGTGTGTGTGTGTGTGTGTGTGTGTGTGTGTGTGTGTGTGTGTGCGTGCGTATAAATAAACCTGAATTTTAATCTTTTAAATCTTTAATTTTTTTAAACTTTTTA